TGATCAGAGAGTTTCCACGAAGCCCTGCGTTGAGGTGGGAGGGGAAAGAAATGAACTGATGTGAGCTGTCTTCTCTTTGATCCCAGTGTGGTGTCTGAAGGGCTGGAGACTAAAGTCCAGTCTGTGCCCAAGGCAGGTGGGGCTGAGCGGGGGACAGGATGTACCTGTTCCCTAGGTCCTGGGTCCTGGGTTTCGTGACTTGACTGGGGCCTTGCATCTGGGGCTCTCCCGTTCTAGGACCTTACCAACCAGCTTCTGGGGGGCCTCGTAACCTGGCCAGGTAACTTCATGGCACCTGCTGTCCTGCAGGGGTCGCCAACTCCATTTTGTAGATGAGAAACCCAGGGCCAAAGAGCTTCAGAAGCCACCCAAGGACAAACACCTTTAATGGTTTGTAGAAGCAGAGGTTTCAAGATTTCCTTAGTCTGTTTCTTAGCAGGAAAGCCTTTTTTTGGTTTGTTTTTTTGTTTCTTTTTTCTCTGATGGAATCCAAGACAGACTCCTAGGCCACCAGTGTCTCTAGCAGGTAAGAAGGACCTGTTGTGGTTGAAGTGGGGAAGCGTCCCCTACCGCCCCCCCCCCCCCCCCGCTTCAGCACCTGGAAGCTGCTTAGGAAGCAGGGGGTCACAGTTTGAGAAACCACAGCCAACTCCACTGGGGTGTTCTTTATAACGCCCCAGGCTACCTTTGAGGATGTGAGTTGGAGCCCTGACCCTGCCTCGGGCATCCCTCTGCACTCTACTCCTTTTCCTCACCAGTCATACTGAGCCCCCAACACAAAGGCCCCAAACTTGGAAGGCCCCCGTCAGTATGTATTGGCTGGATGCATCCCATGCCCTGCACATTATACAATTGTCCAGGCAGCCGTAACAGGCTTTACTGTGATTTAGGTGAGTGACCTTGGGGAAGTCATCTGACCTCTGCGTGACATAGTTTCCCTCTTTACACACCCCTGCTGGAGCTCCCTACTCTTACGAACCTCACAGGTTTGAGTAAAATAGGGCCCTGCTTAGGCAGAAGTGCTGAAAGCAAACCGGGTCCTTACTCACATAGCCCTCGGGCTGAAATTTATCAGTCGCTCCTGCTCAGGTGGGCAGGTTAGCAGCCCGCCTGATGTTCCTGCTGGGGCTCCGACCACAGGAGTCTCCCAGGAGCATGGCTCTGCTTTCTGTCCCTAACTGAGAGGTGTTCCCACCGACTGGCCTCTGGAAGCCTCCACTTGCACATGGTACAGGGTGCACCCCGTAGTCCTTGTTCGGTTTCCCCCGCGGTGACAGATGCGCATGAGTTGCCTGCTTTGCTTGCCTCCCAGACTGGGGTGTGACCTGGGCTGCTTCCATACACACTGTAAAGGGGGTAGTTTATGACTGGGTAGGAGACTCATTGAGAGGGAGCTTCGGGTAGCAGTGACCGTGGTGACAATGACCGTTCATCCCGCGGCTCTGCGCAAGCCGTCACTGAATGCCCAGCTCAAGCTCTGCACCAGGCATCAGGGATGCAGTGCCTGATTGGGAGGCCCTGCCCTCCTGGAGAGCACAGTGTCTGCATGCGATAGGCAATATATAAGCACAAGTCGGAAGGGAATGGAGAACTGGCGGTCAGAACAGTGAAGGAAACAGGCCGCCTGACTGGAGGGGGCCTGGTTTGGATGGGGTGGGGGAGGCAGGAAAGATCTCTGAGGAAGGGACATTTCCACGGAGACATGAAGAATGGAGAAAAGGAGGTAGCCTGGAGAAGAACCTTTTAGGCGGAGGGGCCGGTAGGTCTGAGGAAGAAAGTTCTAGGCTTGTCCTTGGGTCTGGAGAGAGGGCTGCTGTGTCTGAGCAAGGGGGCCAGGACGAGTGTGTTGGGGGGTGAAGTGGGAGAGGGAGGCAGGGCAGAGGGTGCAGGGCTTGGCAGTGGTAAGGAGTTTGACTCTTTGAAGTGTTTTTCTTTTTTTTGCTTTCTGGTTGGGGATGGAACCCATGCCTGGGGTGGTGTCCTGGCCCAGTTTGCCAGAAGAGACGGGTGGGTGCACCCTTCAGGGCTGAAACTAGAGGCTGAAGGAGAGCCTCAGGGGCCTCTCCACGCCCAAAAGCTGCTAGACAGACATATTGATTGGCGAACTCTGGGAGGGGTTCAGGTTCAGGCTGAGCAAGACTGAAGGGCAAAGTGCAAACATCATTTTCAGTACAGAGGAAAACAAGGTAATAACATATGGAGTCTGGGACACGCAGAACCAGCTGGGTGGAGATTAGGGTAAAACTGAAGTGTACTGGGAAGTCCTGGGAGAAGGGGAATGTAGCCTTGTATTAGCATGCTAACTGGAAAAAAAAAAAAAAATACTAATAATCCTGTGCCCGGATTCTTGCTTTGTGTATAAAGAAACCCAGGGGGTGCTGCAAGTTCAAGGTCACACTAGCCTGGCCTGACAAGTTTTCTGAATTCAGAACTGACGAGGATCCGCCAACCTGCTGGTCAATAGAATTTGGATTTCTTATCCGTGAAGATCATTAAAGAAAGAAGGGACAGGGAACTTTTCATGCCTGGTGAATAGTTGGATAGTCGGTGCTTCTAGGTCTTGAATAGAGGTCAGGGAGCAGGTGGAATGGGGGAAAGGCTCCCCAAGGGAGTGGGTCTGTGCTGAAAAGTAAGGAGGAGTTGGGAAGGAAGCTACTTGCAAAGGTGGGCATTCTGGGCCTCGAAGGAGACTGCAGCAGAAAAAAATAAGGCTTTGGGAAGCCGGGGGCATGGACAAGGATTTTCCCTAAAAAGGTTGGAGGGGTGGAGGAGGGCCCTGCCTGACATGCCCTCCGCGGTGTCTTCCAGGCCCAGAGGCTGCTGGCCCAGAGGAGGCCCCAGCGGCCCTTCTTGGAATCCTTCATCCGGGCCCTCATCATTGTGTGTGCTGCCCTGGCCTTGGTCCTCTCCTCCGTCTCCATCTGCGATGGCCACTGGCTGCTGGCTGAGGACCGCCTCTTCGGGCTCTGGCACTTCTGCACTTCGTCCAACCAGACGGGGACACACTGTCTCAGAGACCTGAGTTGGGCTCACGTGCCCGGGCTGGCCGTGGGCATGGTCCTGGCCCGCAGCGTGGGCGCCTTGGCCGTGGTGGCCGCCATTTTGGGCCTAGAGCTCCTCATGGTGTCCCAGGTGTGTGAGGACCTCCACTCACGGCGCAAGTGGGCCATGGGTTCTGTCGTCCTCCTCGTCTCCTTCGTCCTCTCCTCCGGGGGGCTCCTGAGTTTTGTGATCCTCCTCTGGAACCACGTCACGCTCACTGGCTTCACCCTGATGTTCTGGTGCGAGTTCACGGCCTCCTTCCTCTTCTTTCTGAATGCCATCAGTGGCCTTCACATCAACAGCATCACCCATCCCTGGGGCCAACCGAGGAAATTTTAGGCCTCCCTCCCAAATCCGAGGACATCAGGTTCTACGAGAAAGTGTGGTCAAGATGGGACGTTTCCAACCCGTGACCTCTGGTGGGGCGGGGAAGGGTGGGGCAATGACCTTGAAACTGCTGCCTCTCAGCCAATAACCTTTGGGTGGTTGGCCAGATTCAGCCCAGCAGCCTTTGCAGCTGGCCTGCGGGGCCAGAGGCCAGAGGCCAGGAGGGTGCTTCAGTGCCAGCAGCTTTAGCCCAGTTATTAGGATGTTGATTTTAGGAGAAGTAACACGTTTTAAAACCCTTTTCTTGAATCCTTCTTTTAAAATCCTTTCTTGAATCCTTCCAGGATGGGAATAGATTTGGAAGCAGCGTGGGTAACGGCGCCTGGGCTGGCCGCACAGCTAAGTGCAGCTCCCAGTTGTTTTATTGACTCTGTGCCAGGATCGGGGCTGTGGGGGCCCCTGGGGTCTCCTGGGATTAGGCCCGGAGTGGATCATTCCTCCAGCAAAGCATATCCAGTCAGTGCCTCGGACTGTTCTTCCACCAGCTCAAAGGGCCTTATGGGCACATTTCCCTGCTATAGCTTCAGTCATGCTAGGGAGGCAGAATTCAGGATTCCCTCGATCTCTTCCATGCTAGGTTTTCAAACCATTTGACTCGATTTGAACCCTGCCCTTTGCTGTGTGTGTGTGTTGGGGGGGCGGTGCATAATCCTTGAATAACTGCAACTTCCTGCAGCCGGCTGTCCTGTCTGGGGATCCTGCCCGAACCCTTCCAGCAAGCTTCTCAGGACAGCCCTCCGGCCCAGTACACGGTCCTCCCGAGGCAAGCGTGTGTGCGCGTCCGGCTTTGATAAGGGTCAAGATGGCCTCGGGTACCATTTTTGATTCTAGAGCACATTTCCAAAGAGTTCATGTCTGGACCTGCGGAACTCCAGGGGGGTCAAGGGGACTTGCTGGGCCTTGAGTAATGATTAACAGCCATCCTGGGGATGAGTGCAGGTGAAGGGGACCAGGAACCAGTGGAGATTTCCATCCTTGCCAGCAGATGTGCATTTCTGGGGAACCAGTTGCCCCCTTCCCAGTGTCTTTTCTGCCCCAGAGCTGGGGGATTTGCCCTCAAGCCATTTCATTCCACACTAACCCCTTCCCTCTCCACCGGCTCCACTCTAGCTACTTCTGGTATGGGTTTTTGGTCTCTGCCCCGCCCTGGTCACTGCAGGCTCCACTTTCTGGGCTGGGCTGGGTGCTTCTCTCTCTCTCTCGTGGGTTTTTAAAAAACTTGGACTCCAAAATGTATATGGAGTTCATGGAGATCACTGAAAAAAGGTGTCATGGGCCAACCCGTTTTTCAGAGAACAGAGCTCATCAACCAGACGGGCTGGGTTCTCAGCCCTGGGAAGTAGGCACCTGACCTTTCATTCCAGGAGCCGTTCATCTGGCACAAAGGGGTGTGACCTTGTCTCTGCAGTGGGGAGGTGCGGAGGTGGGAAGCCAGGGCCCAGAGGGGGGCAGCACTTGTCCAGGGTCACCCACCAGCAAGATGTCTTCCCCTCTATGTTGTGCCTTCTGTCCAGAATGCTTCCCCCCACCCCGCCCGAAAACACTGGTAGGCTTTGTTTTATAAAAGGGTTCAAATGTTCAGTTCACTTTAATCCTCACATGGCTGGTGATGAGGGAGTGCTTACAGTCAAGGGAACTGAGATCCAGAGAATAAAGGGGAGACAGATCCCCATAAAACAGAGACAGGCCCCTGTCCGGTGCCCGGGAGTAAAGAAACAGACGCAGCCTTAGAGCATGGGGATTTGAAACCAAAAGCCCTGGACTGAACTCATGCCCCTTCTCGCAGAGTATCTTGGGCAAGTCGCGGGACCTTGGTGAACCTGTTTCTCTTTTCTGTCCCCTGGAATCTATGCCCCATTCCCAGCTGTTGTGCCCCCAGGGCTGTGGATAACTGCAAGCAGGAGGAACAGAGGGGTGCCTTGTGCCACGCTAGGGTTACTGAGGAAGCTGGGGGTCTTGGGGCTCTCTTGGCCTCACTGACTTGATCAGATGAATTCAGTCATCTTGAAGTGTAGGGTCAGAGCAGCTGGGCAGGTGAGTTGTAGTGAGGTGTAGGGAGGGTGCACCCAGGGCCAAGGGTCTCCATTTCTCCTGTTTCATGGGCTTCAAACTTAACCCTGGAAACTCCAGGAAGGGGTAGGGAAGTGAGCGGGAGCATCCTCCTCCACCTTGTGTCTCGAGGGCCAAAACGAGTGGGCAGTTACAGACCAAACCCATCCCAGCTACCATTTATTTCCCTGTCCTCTTCTGGAGCCTCTGACCCAGGCCCTCTTCCTGCCCCGTGGTCCCCCCATTATTTTCAGTTCCGAGGAACCTCTCACCAGAGCCCCCTCCCCATCCCAAGGCTCAGAGGAGGGAGGGTCGTTGGTCACAGGAGGAAGCAGATGATGTCTGCTGAGAAGACGGGTCCGGGACTGTCCCGCAGCAGTGTCTGGCCTTCTCATGACCCGTCTGGGTGTCTGTCCCGTGGATGGCCCTGCTCCAGGCTCTCAGATGACACCGGCCCTGCAGGTGGCCCCACTCTGCTCCGAGGTGCTGGCCTTGGTGCTGTGGGCCAGGCCGCTGGTGCCGTTGCTGAAGGAGGAGCTGAGGGCCACGGGGCGCAGTAGGGACTCACGGAGGTGCCACTGTCGCCACTTCTTCTGAACCTCCAGCTGCACCTGGCCCGGAGACCAGCCGTCAGCCGGGCAGACGGGCACCTGGTGCCCACAGGCCCGTTCACTCGCCCGGGACCGCGGCACGCGCCCTGCCTCTGCCGCCCAGGGGTCCTGCCTCCCCTTCTCCCGCAGGCCGCTCAGATGGGCCGTTTCCAGCCCCGATGTCCAGAGGGATCGAGGGCCCCCTCTCGCCTGGACGCCTTCACCTGCCACCTTACTGCTTGTGTCCCGAAGGGGCCTGGGCTTCTTTCACGAATTCCAGAACTCCAACGTCCAGATCATCACCCGGGACAATGGGACCCATTCCCATAAAGCCACCCTAGCTCAGACCTTATCTGGGGACCCTGGAGTTGCTCTTTGGAAATCTTCACAGTTCCCAGCTGTAGCAGCCCAAAACCTTTGAAGCCAGGCTTCAGGCTTGGAGTTTGGAAAACAGAGGTTCTTCCCATTCAAGTGTGGGGGACCAGATAAATGGTCACCAGTTACAGAAAGGCCTTACTTATGTGAACACTATTCAACTAATGTGGGCTGCACGGCTTGTGTGGGTTCCCACCCAAATGCTCTGGGGAGGAGCAGAGACCTTGAGGTAAGTGTGCAGCCCTCCTGGGGAGTCAGCACTCATGTGGGGGTCAGTGAGCAATTGAGTGTCAGAGATTTCATCATCGAGTCACTCATTGAGCAGAGGGGAAGACTGAGGCCCAGAGAAGGGCAGTGAGCAGGATCACCCATCAGGCAAGCAGCAGTCAGGAGCCTGGGTTTTTGTTGGGGTGCTTGCCCTTTCCTCTAGTGCCTGGACTCACCCAAGGCTAAGAATCATCTGGAATGCTTGTTAAACATTTTCAGGCTCCAACCCAGACGTACAGATTCCTCCTTTTGCTGAATTAGAAATGGGGGGTGAGTAGGGCCCAGCAATTGTTTTAACTAGGCCTCCTGGTTCTTCAGTGCTCCTAGGAAGTGAGCTCAGGGGACCCAGGCCTCCCCCAGCCACACCATCTATGTCTCCCCACCACCCCTTCCAGGGAGCTTCTGAGCAGGAATCCAGTGGCTAGGGAGCTCCTTCATCGGGGCAGCCGAGGACACTCACCTCCCCATTGAGGAAGCAGTAGAGGACCGCCACCACCAGGCCCTGCAGGGGGGCAGAGCAGTAGGGGGTCAATGCAGGTGCTCCGGCACCCGGCCTCTTTCCTCCAACCTCCTCCCCATGTCCTTAAATTGCCAGCCCCAGGCTCACTTCTCCCCAGGAAGTGCTCCAGAGCCTTCCCACACCTCTCACCCCCAGGGGCGTGGGGTGGGTGGGTAGGGGACTGGGACTACCTCTTCTGGGGTCCCCACAGTGTCTCTGGCTGTGCCGGCATCATCCAGCACAGACTCAGCTCCTTGGGGCAGGGCTAGGGTCCAGCGTGGGGCGTTGCACAGATGGGATTTCAGAGTAGAAGCTGCTAACTTGGGCCAGTGGGGACGGGGCAAGTCACCTGAATTAGTAAGGTGGGCCATCTGGGAGAAGCAGGGAGTGGTGGCCCCTGATGTGCACCTGTCCCTCAGGTAGGGGGTGGGGCCAGCCCATGGGAGACCCTGTGCCCTGTGTGGGTGGGCTCATTTTCAAGATCAGCTCGAAATGGAGATGTTCCAACACAGGCAACCATTCAAACTGAAACACGAATGTGCGAGCGTGAGGTTGGGACAAAGCCCGAGTGTAGGTCCCGGCCAGCAAGCAGTGGGTGTGACTTCCTGCTTAAATCACCTTGGCTAGGGGCCCTGAGGCTATATACACATGTTCCTTGGTGGGGTGGGGGTCGGTACCTGTTAGGACCCTCCTTCCCTAGTATCTGGAGCACCTGTTTTCCCAGGAGTGCCTTCCCCTGCCCCCCAATCCTGGCATGGAGCTTTACCAGGGCAGGGACTCTGGTCTCGAGATGCAGGATTTGAGGCCCAGAGGCCTGCTTGGGACCATAAGCTACGGGCAGGGTCTCTTCAGTGCTTATGTCCGGCTCACCTCCTCAGGGAGCCGCCTTGGGCCAGCCTGCCTTTCCTTCTGCCCTGAGGCTTCCCGGGCTGGTGAGCACCCTCCCCCTCAGAGGCCTGGGTGTCCTAGCTCTGACCTCAGGGGGCCCTAAGGCCCCCTTCCGAGTCCCATCCAGGCCTGCCCTCACCTACTTACTTGGGAAAGACCCCCAAGAATGATGAACCAGCCCTGCTGTGGTGAACTTAATACATAGAATTGCTCAGGGCTGCCGTCGTTGTAACAAGAGTTAGTGACAGACCTGGAAGAATTTGCTTTAGAATATCAGGCACCGAGGACCGCTACCCAGAATGGGCATCATTTGGAGGAGGTGAGCGGCTGGAACGGTTACTCAAGGCCGCAGTTTCCAAATTTTGTAGCACGTTAGAAACCCTCCATACCCCAAGGCCAAATGTCTGAGGATGATGGAAGCCGCAGCAGCTTTGAAAAATCCCTGGTGGTTCTAATGGACATTCCCAGTTGGGAACCACTGTTGGAGGGTGTGAAAGGCTTAGAGATGAAACGGAACAGGATGCGGCGTGCCGCCTGGCCTGCTTACTTGTGGGGTGCTGGGTCCCAGATGCTTCATTTAATCCTTGCCAAAGCCCTAGCGGGGAGGAGCCCTGTCTCCCTCGGGCAGGAACTGAGTCACAGGGGGTTTCGGCAACACTGGCGCTGTGTGCGATTGGCCCAGAGCCGGTGGTCAGGCTGCTGGCTGCGGGGGCTACCCATCTCACCGGGCCCAGCGGGTCCTACCCCTGGGCCTCCAAGATCCTGGGACACAGCTGCGCAGGTCAGGTGAGGGAGCCCCGAGGGAGGGAAAGTTAGTCGTGCCCCGAATATCGATAGGGCAGGCCTCCCACAGCCAGCAAGTTTAAGAAATTCCACAGTTTTTATACAATCATTAAAAAAGAAGTCTTGGAAGACAGAGAATTAGAATAAGCAAGTTAGAAAACCGCACACAGCATGACCTCAGCTATATGGGCTGTGTGTACATGTGTGTCTTCCTGGATAGAAAAGAGACTTAAAAAGAAAAAAAGAGGGAGAGAGAGACTTAGAAGTAAACCCATCATCATTTTAAACAGGTAATTTCTGGGGTCATGAGATTATGGATGATTTTTTTTTTCTTTTTTAACTATTCCTTATTTTCCAGATTTTCTACAATAAGTGTTATTTCTATAATCAGAAAAAGCAAATCAACTTTCGTTTCTAGAAGTCTATGACTGATCATGTATTGTGGTTCTGTGTGTCTTTAAGCCCCTGTCTTCTAGAGATGCGTACTAGAATATTTACATTGGAGTAAAACCATCCCTTTGATGTGCTTAAAATGATGGGGGATGGGGTGAAGGGAGAGGATGTGGACAGAGATGGAACCAGCCAGGACTTGAGTGGACAGCGGTCACATAGGGGGTTCACTATCTACTATTCTCTTCACTTTAATATATGGGAGACATTTTCTATAATACAGAATTTTTAAAAATATGTACATTATATAGAATATACGTGTATAATATACAATAAAATGATATATGTTTGTATGTGAACAAAGGTTTAAAAGCCTCAAAGACTTGCGTAAACATTTCTATGGGAACATTAGGAAAGCGCTTTTGGTTTTCTCTTGACAAGCCATTTCCTTAGAAGCCGAATGGCCTTCACTGGCAAGCCTCGGCCCCAACCACAAGCCCCAACTCCAGGGGACAGGAAGTTCCCTTTCTATGCAAGGAGGCAGACCTGGGTCTCCGTGCTCGAAGTGAGGTCACTACCCATTTCTGGAAGCCAGTTCAAGGTCTTCCGCCCTTGTGGACCTGGAATCCCCACCCCTGCTAAATGGGCCATTGTGTGAGCCCAGCCTCCCCACATGTTCCAAGAGCAGGTGGGCATGAAAGCTCCCTGGTCCAGAAACAAAGAACATGGATTATGCAAGAGGCTGCGTTCTCTGGAGGCCTGGGCGCTGGCAGGGAGCCCTGCGCAGAGGAGAGGCCCAGTGAGGAGAGAGGGGACAGCCCTGGGGTAGGGTCTGAAGGCAGGGTTAGGACAAGACCGGATTCTGCTCAAGAATGTGTTCCCAGTGTTCCTGGAAGCTGAAAGTGACAGGAGGATGACCCTGATCCCCGCCTCCCCCCCGCCCCCCCGAACCGAACTCAGGGATTGGGGGAGACTCTGAGCCCCATCCTGAGACCAAAGTCTCCCCCGTGAGGAGGACTTTGCAGGATAATCAGTGTTGTTGAGGACAGTCTGGCTTCTTGAGGAAAATCCCCTGGGAGAAATTTCTCTCAGGCCCCAAAGCCTATAATGTCTAGGCTTTTCCCGAGAATTAGCTTGTCCCCATCTATAGATGTTATAAATCTTGGAACAGATTGTGTTTCTGTCTTTGCTTTGGCTACTGTGAAGCTCCAAACCAAATGTCTGACCCATCTCTCCTACCTTCATAGCACTCTATTGAATTTGCTTCTCTGTATGAACTCAATTTTGACTTTTATTTTATTTTTTCACTGATCCTTCATCTACTTTTTTGGGGGGGGGGATCCTCTGTATGGTCTTCCTGAAAGCTACATCATATTATTTTTGGAAGGAGACAGCTATGAGAGTGTAAACAAAAGTCCTGTCCAAACATGTTTACTATTTGTTTTTTGTTGTTGTTGTTTTTTAAGCCTCACAAGATCTCACTGAATTAGGAGGTAGGTGATTTCTCCCCTCACTCTCCTTTTTTTTAAAGTTGGTTTTTATTTTTGATACATTGTGTGTGCACATAGTTTCAAGAGTCCAGTGATTCTCCTCACAAAACAAGAGCAGCCTCCGAACACCCCTGCCCCCATTTCCTGTGCCTCAGAGGCAACTACTTGGAATTCTCTTTGCTGCTTCTGAATAATATGCTGATGCTGCTCCTTCTGGATTTTTCAGTTTGGGGCACTTTCATGGACTTCCCAGAATGAAGAGGAGGACTTTATTCTCTTTCAGACACTCACCCTCGCCCATTCCCACAATGCTCATCTTCCTGCCCCGCTTTTTGATGGCTCAGCCACAGCCCTCAGCTAACGTCATTTTGACTATGTATGCACCCTTTTGTCTTCCCTGGAGTCAGTCTCTCTCCTTAGTTTTATCTCCCACCCCTATCTCACCGGTGGGGGGACTTGGGTCCCACTCGGGGTCCCACAGCACAGTGCGGTCCTGCCTACCTCCTCTTGGGTGTGTGCCTGATGAGGCATTCCGCACCGCAGCGCCGGACCCTTCCGGGGAGACCTGGCTTGCTGTCTCTATGAACTCCCAAGGGTCGTAATCCCTGAAGCTTACCTGGAACGAGCCAAGGGCCAATTCAAAGAACCACTGGACCTCAATGGCGTCCTCTGGGGAGAAGGCGAAGATGATGTAGTGGACTCCAAAGAGGGGGATCAGCAGGAGGGTGGACTTGGCCAGGCGCCTGCAGACACAGACCCGCTGGTGTCCTGCCTCCTCCCCCCCAGCACAGCTCTGCAAGCCCCAACCTGCCAGATCGCAGAGGCCTGCAGCGGTGCCCCCAAATCTTTGTGGTTTTACTTTGTATTTTGGAGAATTTCCAGCTCCCACGTACCCATCACCCAGGGCCTCTACACTTTCTGATCATGCACGCCATCAGGAAAAAAAAATGTGAACACGTATCCACCCAAATAACTTTATTATTTATAAATTACCTGCATGTGTCATTGAACCTATTATTCACGAAACCAGCATTCTTATTTTTTTGATAATAAATATCTATAAGGAGAAGTTCTTTCATTTTCTTCCCAGATCCCAGATTAGGGTTGCTAAATTTAGCAAATAAAAATACAGGATGCCCAGTTCAATTTGAATTTCAGATAAACAAGGAATAATATTTTGGGGGAGTAAGTGCTAAAACACTATTCGTTGTTTATCCCAAATTCAGACTGAACTGGGCATCCTCTGTTTTATCTGGCAACTTTATCCTGGATTCCCCAGCTCCACCCTACTGTGGCGCCCACTGCGCTAAAGATGTCCTGGAGAATCTGTCACCAAGCAATCCAGGTCACTGCCAGATTCTCAAAGCCCAGAACATCACAGAGAAGTCTTCGTTGGACACTGATTTGCCTTTAAAGATTCTGTTTTGAATTGTGTCTCCCCCACCCAAATTCACCCATTGAAGCCCTAACTGCAGGACCTCAGAAATACCTACCTGTATTTGCAGGTAGGGCCTGTAAAAAGGTGACTAAGGTAAAATGAGGTCATTAGGGTGGGACCTTAGTCCAATCACCTGGTGTCCTTATAAGAAGAGGAGGAGGCACCCAGGATTCCGGCACACAGGACAAAAGGCCAGGTAAGGGCACAGGGAGAAGGCACCCGTCTACAGTCTACAAGGCCAGGAGCAAGGTCTCAGAAGAAATCAAACCTGTGGGCACCTGGATCTTGGGTTTCCAGCCTCCAGAACTCCGGGTAAATAAATTTCTCTTCCTTATACCATCCCATGTGTGGTTATTTTGTTATGGGGGCCCTATCAAGCTAATACAGCATCTCCCTTTAACATCTTAAAGGTTTTAAAGTATTTTTGGATCGCACATCTTGAAAATCAGATGAAAGCTAGAGCCTTTCTCCCCTGAAAAATACACAGACCTATACACATTTCTCTGAATTTGGGTCCCTGAAGTCCATTGGCAGACTCCCTAACGCTGCCCCAAACACAGATCTCTGCTCCCTGGGATCCTGAGAGATTTCTTTATCTTCCCACTGCTGGACCTGCGTCTAAGGCTTCCCAGTGGACCCACTTCTCCCCACCCCCATTCCCAATTGCATCATAACCTCCTTGGAACCACGGCCAGTTGGGTAAACCATAGGCACTCTAAATACCTGTCGACTGACTGAGCGTGCCTGGGTCTTTGCCCTCCACTTACTTATAATGGCTCACTTCATTTCCTCTTGTTTCTTGGGTTCTAAGTTTTCTCATCAGGATTCTTAGAATGTTTATGAAAAGGATGAAGTTAATCTGTAAAACACAAGAGGGGGGTGTGGGCTGAAGGTGATTGCCACCTCTCCTGGCCTTGACCCCTTGGCCCTGAGGGCAGAGAAGGCATCGCAGACGACACCCGGGATTGCAGGTCGCTGAGCCACCCCGCCCGGCCTGCCGCCCCAGAGTCCCGGTGGAAGAGGCTGTCTGGAGGTGACGGCTGACACAGCACCCGCGCCTATCCCTGGCTGCAGGAGCTCTAAGGTCTGCTCAGTTGTGGCAGGGATTCCTCACACTGGAATGCATTGGCATTCCCCGGCGACCTTTTTAAAAGGCAGGTCACCGGTGACCTGAGATGCTGCATTTTTTTTTTTAAGATTTTATTTATTTATTTGCCAGAGAGAGAGAGAGAAAGCACAAGCAGGGGAAGCGGCAGGCAGAGGGAGAAGCAGGCTCCCCGCTGAGCAAGGACCCTGATGCGGGGCTTGATCCCAGGACCCCAGGATCACGACCTGAGCCAAAGGCAGACGCTTAACTAACTGAGCCACCCAGGCATCCCGAGAGTCTGCACTTCTGTCAAGCTCCAGGTAATGCCAAATCCAGTCCTTGGCTACACTTTGAGTGGCAAGGCTTTCTTCCCTCAGAGGTTCTTTTTTTTTTTTTAAGATTTTATTTATTTATTTGACAGAGACACAGCGAGAGAGGGAACACAACACAAGCAGGGGGAGTGGGAGAGGGAGAAGCAGGCTTCCCACCGAGCAGGGAGCCCGATGTGGGGCTCGATCCCAGGACCCTGAGATCATGACCTGAGCCGAAGGCAGACGCTTAATGGCTGAGCCACCCAGGCGCCCCTCTCTCAGAGGTTCTTAAAGTTTTGGGTGCGGATTGGGGGCTCCCTCCCTCAGAAGTTCCAGGTCAGTAAATCTGGGGTGGGGCCCCCAAATTTGCATTTTTTAACAAGCTTGCAGGTGATGCTGAAGCTGCTGGTCTGGGGACCACACTTTGAGAACCACTGCTTCAAAGCCTTATAGAGTCACTTTGCAGTTTAATCACCAACTCCAGGAAGCCGCCCTTGATTGCCTATCTTTCCTGATACATTGCAGTTAGGGATCATGTTACTGTGTAAGCACTTGAAATATTTGAAAGAGGCCAAACACATGCACCTGTCAAAGTTGTGTGTGTCTACTTACCTGTCAATTCAATAACTTCCTAAAGGACAGGAATGCAGTCTCATTATTTCGTTTGGTGTCCCCTCCCCCCAGCCCAGTGCCAGAATGTTATAAAGGTGCTCATGTGGCGCCCAGTACCTCTCCTCCTCTCTCACCCACCTACCAGCTCCAGAACCATTTAGAGAAGCAGGGATCAGTGGAATCGCCCAGCCGGGCACCCTCATTGTTCACACAACCAGCCTGGGGCGTGGGAATGCTGGCCAAAAGACAAGGATTAGTGCCTGTCCAGGACTTCTAGCCCACCTGCCTCTTTGAGAACTTTGCTTCTCAGCTTGTTGTTTATGCATCTTGCTCGGAGCTGGCGATGCATGGTGTAAATGAATAAAGGTTATTTTACTTTTATTTATTTTTTTAATCTTAGAGTTGCATTTAACTTCATAGGGAGCACTTGAAGGCAAAAATAAAAACAAAAACAAAAAAAACCAAAAAACAAAAAATAAACTTCAAGCTCTCAAGAATGAGTCCTAAATAGTGGAATTCTAGGCCCCATGACCTACTGGTTAGGAGATGTTTTTAAGTTCTTATTTATTTATTTAAGTCATCTCTACCCCCAGTGTGGGGCTTGAACTCACAACCCCAAGATCAAGAGTCGCATGCTCTACAGACTGAGCCAGCCAGGGGCCCTGTTGGGAGATTTTGCATCAGGAGTGCTCACCAAACATCACTAGAGAGACCAGAGTCTGGTGAAATCCTCCAGGACCCCCGGGGTCCATCGTCCCTCAGCCGGGGCTCTCCTGGGCGGCGCGGTCAGAGCCCCAGAATGACGGCAAGGAAACGGGCCTAACTAAAGGAAGAAAGACCCTCCTATGGGAATACTATGCAGCCAGAGCACATCGGTGGATCAAATAATTTCAAAGGCCACGGGAGAGCTCACATCTGCTGCTAAGTGAGAAAGACGAACTAGTATACAAAACTCTATTAAGCATTTTGAAAAAAAGTGTGTGTGCTCAAAGAAAAAGATAGGAAGGAAAAGCACATGTGTATTCACAGTGTGTGTCTCAGTGCTAAAAGTATGTGTGATTTTATTTCCTTTTGGAAAACACATTTTGTATCTTCCAACTTTTTTTGACATGAATTCTATTATTTTGGGGAAAAAAAAAGAAGAAAAGAAAAAAGAAGGAGGTCCTGGAATGGCCGCCTCCTCCCAACTGCCCCCTGGAAGGTCCACGAGCCAGCCAGTGAAAGAGGTGGGTGGGGGCTGCTGCCCTGGGCTGCACCCCACCCCACCCCCCACCCCCCTGCAGCAGATCCACGAAGGGAGCTTCCTGCCAAAGGGTCCTGCGGCCGTGGTGTCCCTCGGAGCCCTGCACACAGCTGAGGGGCTGATTCCTTCCAGGAGACAACCCCGGTGGGTCCCCCGCCCTCTGTTCCCCTATTTCCTGTCTCTACCCACAGGCTCAGCTCCAGGCGTCCCAACCCTACTGCAGAGCAGAAGCACCTGAGAACTTAAACCCCCGCTGAGTGCTCAGGCCCCTTCCCAGAACGAAGAGAGCCCGAATCTCTGGCTATCCAGAGATATTTGAAACAGCTCCCAGGGGATTCTGAAGGGCAGCCCGGTTGAGACACTCTGAGCTCCCTGTCCATGAGAGTCGCTCCTGTATCTTCTCCCTGGGGGCCACCCCTTCAGGCCTGGCCCCCCCCCAACAGCACCCCAAAGGCCCAAGACCAAGCCTCACTGAGCTTTCCCCAGCCCCATCCTATGATCCCAGCTCAGTGATTCTTCTCAGTTTAACAAGAGGAACGCCTAGAAAAAAGATCAGGACCCAGAGATCCGAAGGGGGCGCATTTCGGGCCAGCGCAGAGCCAGCCAGTGTAGGGCAAGGAGCTCTGCTCACTACATTTTAGTGGCCACTCACGAACCAAAGAGAGTTATGTATACTTTTGCCCCTCATCCCACTCGCACCCCCCAGCCCCCATTCTCCCATCCCCCATCTAGACCCTCATGCTGCTGACCAGCCTCTGGAAACTCTGTGGTTCATCCCTCCCCGCTCCTGGAGGGAACAAAGCTAGCGCTCTCTCTTGACCTTCTGTCCAGGCCAGTCACTCTTTCCGTCTCTCCCACTGGAGCCCAGCTCGGCAAGACGGCCACTCACCAGGATGGAGAGGATCACGGGCCCCCGAATGACCCACCAGATGGACGCGTTGGCATTGATGTCCCAGCACCTGTGGAAGGACAGCCAGGCATCATTAGGAGTGGAGAGCTGAGGGGACCAGGAAAGACTAGTTCCCTCAAGTGCTCTTCTGAGGAAGGATCCATGCTGGTGGCCCCGAGCACTGCGGCTGGGTGCCCAGCCCTATTAGAACTGACCCTCTCCGGCCGCCCGGGAGCACTTCGGAGGCCGCTGGAGCAGCCCCCCGGTCTGCGCACTCGCCCAGTGAGTGTCCGGGGCAGCGGACCTGTGTGGCACCTGACAGCCAGAAGATCCCAGAATCCCAAAGCGAGCGCAGTGACAAACTCAACTGCCAACAAGGGCCAGGCAGGTGACATCAGTGAGTGAAGTGGCTGGGTAACTGACATGTGGCCTCAGGACCCTGTGACATCAGGTGGGGGGGCGTACTTGGCAAGCTGGAGAGCATGCGTGGGGCCTAAGGCAGCCACATCGGCTCCGGCTGATTTTTGCCACAAGGGAAAATGAGAGATGTTGGTAGAATTTCCCATGTTCTCCAGAGAAGCTAAAAATCCAGATTTTACAAAAAATCGAATTCACCCAATTAAAGTAATTCTTTTGAAACGATTATTTGGGGCCAGAGGTGGACCGAAAGACACTGGCAAGTCTCGTCCGACCAAATCCACATCCTGGGCTGGTTGCATCAGCATGTCCGTGAGAAACTGCCTCTGCTCTGTCAGGCCGCCTCACTTCCTCCTCGGCTTCTCTCCTCGTGCCTACTTCCCAGCAGGCTCCCCTGCGCTTACCTCCATCCTCAGCGCCTGGCAGCTTTCGAGAAAAGACTAGATCTCTCTGTCCCCATCGGGAGTCACTGGGAATGCCGCTCTCCTACACCCACCTCCCGGACTCTCACACAGCACCCCCCCCACCCCAGGGGTAGGGAGGAGCAGAGGAGGGGATCCCAGGAGGAAGGAGAAGCTTGGTTGGCCCAGAGCTGCCTCACTGAGTGGCACCTGCCTGGACTTTCACGGCTCCTGCCCGGCACCTGCTTTCCACAGAGCTGATGGTGTGGGCAGGCCCAGGAGGGTGCAGACACGGTAGAGGCCATCACCCATCTGCAAGCTCACACCAGCCCAGCACTCCAGAGTACTCGCCTGTGGGCCCCCCGCCCCCCCCCCCCCGCCGTTTAAAAAACAGGCTTCTTCTAGATAGCTCCAAAGAAGTGCCCATCCTGCTTGAAGAACTGGACAATATAAAATACACTCTTGTTACCTCTCCTTCATACAGCTTACCCGACATCTTCCAGAAAGTGCCTGCTGATAGCCCACGAAGCAACAAAAATGGCCGGGGAACCTGAAGATTAAAAATAAAGGAGGGGGGCGCCTGGGTGGCTCAGTCGTTAAGCGTCTGCCTTTGGCTCAGGTCATGATCCCAGGGTCCTGGGATCGAGCCCCACATCGGGCTCCCTGCTCCA